TTTCAGCATTTCCGTTCGGCCCGTTGATACTGTCCGGAAATAGAATGTCGACCATGATGTTTTCCGTTAAGCGCGATCCTTCAGGCTTTATTCTCGGCACCGCGGCGAGCATAACGTAAACGATGGTCGGAATAACAGCTTTTCCCTTGGGATTCCGTGAAACGTTCGTCCCGTACAGTCGCGGAGCGAAGTCATTGAATTCCTGTATCAGCTGTCAGTTTGCCTGCGGCAGACCGCGCGACAGATTCCACAAGAGACACCGGAAAAGTAGGACGAAGTTTGCTACAAGCGGAGCCTGTCTCGTGAAAGGTGCCGAGCACAATATGCTAGATACCTATTGTGTTTGTATTTATTTGTAAAAGAGAAATAAAAGACTTTCACGACTATAGGTAAATCGTAATACCGCGGACATGTAAGAATTGGGCAAATTAAATATAAATTCGTTAAGGTATCGTTTAGCTGGGGAGCGATTCATGTTCGGTAGAAGTTGTGTCAGCCATAGTGTATTAGATATGTAACTGGTACAATATGGTTTAACCGACGACATCGCCACCTGCCTCTGCCAGCAGGAACACCTGCTCCTTACCCTTCGTTTCGATATCGGGATAGCAGAATTTTGTAAACCACCAACGTGATCGCAAACCATTCGACCATAAATATCATTTTCGTACAATACAGCTTTGTTGCGCGGCTGTCGGGCGCGCCTCGAGTAACGTCACAATTCCATTCTTTCATCTCTGGATTGTCATTTGTAATCTAGCTTCTGCAGGAATGTGTATTTTTAGGAAAAGTGATGCTGCTTAACCCTCTCCGCCCGAATTTGTTTCTGTGGGAAAACAAATATAGTTCGCGTGCCTTGAGTTATTTGGGATTCAATAAATTCAGTTGCATTAACACTTTAACGTCACTCATGTACAGTTTTAGGTTTTTTTGTATCAAACTTTGTCAGTACGGTCTAGATAAGAATGAAACATTATACAAACGTAGATTGTTTAAAGCTTTATTGAAATTTCTAATGGTAGTGAAATAGATCGGCAATACTTACATTTAGGTTATGGGACATATTGTTGCATGTCGACATGGCGGCATCAGTGTAGTACAAGGGGTTAGTAATTAAGTTCATTTTAACGTGAACTAACAACGTTTCAGATGATGAATAAAAATTTCATGTATACAATAAATAAATATTCTCTTTTGCAAAGTCTCTTTTACGATACACTTTGTTGCTTTAGTGCTAAACTATTTACATTCCCGGACATTTTGTATAAAAATGTAATGTTAAGGGTCACGTAGATTACAAAGTACAATAGCCCCGAAGAAGGTTAGGAGTGCACTATCAATTGCACATTTCGTGTCACGGCTTTTCATTAGCCATTAAATACATTTAAATTGTCGTTGCATTTTCTTATCGCGAGGTACAGAAAGAAAAATTCAATGCCAGACTTTAAGAATAGATATAATTTACAGGCTATGCCGACGCCTGTACGCGCGATATTTAGAATTTGGGTTACGTGAATTATGTGCATCGTATTTAGGACGTTTCATGTTTAACTGCATTTATTTTTAGCACGACCGCGACTACCTGTAAAAATTTCACGCACGTTGACATGTTTGCGTATCTTCTCGCCTTGCATTTGATCTGAATGCTGCGGACGACGATCGTGGTTGATCGATGTCATCATAATGGTCGATGAATACATCATCGTATGTAAATAAGGAAAACGATTGGCGGAGCCTGCCGAAGGTACATTCGATACAGGGCTGAGACTACTCGAATGTTTCTGTATTTTATTTTAAAATTACATTTTAGTGTCATTTGAAAAACATCATTATTTCATGAAGTTTCTCACATGGAAAATAAATTAATATATTTCCAGTTGAATAATTCATTTGTCATTCCACAACATACATTATTTGGTTTTGGGGATAATTATATTATCTCTTAATAGAATTTTGTCAAAGGTTAACTCGACTTTTATGTAATGGTTTGATACAATTATTTGTGGGACGTTTTCAAGTTTTGAGGTTATGGCTTTCATGGCCCGCAGTTTTAGTCGCTACGGCGATGTATTATAGCGCAGTATCGGGCATTACGAATATTTTTCCACAAATAAAATGCATAAACAGTTTAGACTTAGCGACTCAGGCAACATCGATACTTTCTTATCGTTTATAGAAAAAGAGGGGGGTAATACAATTAATTGTGGGACGTTTTCAAGTTTTGAGGTTATGGCTTTCATGGTCCGAAGTTTTAGTCGCTACAGCGATGTATTATAGCGCAGTATCGGGCATTACGAATATTTTTCCACAAATAAAATGCATAAACAGTTTAGACTTAGCGACTCAGGCAACATCGATACTTTCTTTTCGTTTATGGAAAGAGAGGGGGGGTAAATCACGAACGTAAGTAAAGAAAGTCTCGTAACGGTACTATTATTCTACGCGACTGTAATCGTTTGTTTACATAACTCGATTCCTTTTTATTTTCCAAAGCTGCCAGTTTACATAACAGAGCTTCCTTCCCGGTAATGCCTGCGGTTCTTTTGCAACAGAGAATCGCTAAAAAAAAAAAAAAGGAACAAGAAAAAGCCGTCGAGCATTTACGCGAATGCAAGTCGTAGCACTCGTAGCAGTTAGAAAGTTAACGGCGTTACAAGATAACCATGAATTCTCGCGAAACGTATGTATTTTTGGAACAGAATTTCTGGTTGCTACGGGAAATGTGATCGCGGTTTCCATACGGGTAATAGATCCGATGTTTGATCAGCAAATATCGTGTTGTCATTTTTATACCGTTCGGTGATTTATGAACGGGGCCCAAGGGTTCGTATGGCGCGTCAGTTAATTTATCAAATGACGTTCCCGCTAACCCGTGGAATCGTGTTTGTAAATAAATTAGCGAATAGCGGTCGGCGCGGTTCAAGGATTTCGATGAACTTTCGATCGTTTAAAATGGAATTGTCGCCGTCTGACACAGATTTAACGCTCTATGACGACGAGCGTGAAAAAAATTATGTGAAAATTATCGTAGATTCGATGTCCTCGTCGGATATGCGAAACAGATCAGAATGTTTTCGAAATGCTTAGCCGCTCAGCGCGGGAGGAGTCAATGTTTTACAAATAGATCTTAGAGCGCTCGTAGAAGTTAAGGTGGCTCATGTCCAATTTTGGCCGGTCGCGCTTCACGCTACCCGTATTAAATTTCAGACAATATTTTTCTCTCTCTGTCTGTCTCTCGTCGAAAAAAAATTCGCCGGCCTGCCGGTGTCGCATTTTTTTTTTTCTCCACGTTCTCACGCTATATATCTCGCAACGAAGCAAACTTTATTAAAACGCTGTTACTCGCAATTTACTTAGCGACAGTAACGCGTATCGCGATCTTACGGTATTCGTAGAGTTCTTACTCCATTACCAGATCAACGAATATGTGAAATTTTATGTCTAATTAATACCTTAAAAAATTTAACGCGTTATTCAAATTGTTAACGTTATCGTTAACTTATTAATGATAAATATATTTTTATATTCTTAATTCATTTTCGATGTCTACGTTCTACCGCGATTGCGTTTCAATATTTACGATAAAATATGTGCATTCTTTTATACGGTATGTTTTTATAAATAATTCACGTGTATCAAGAAATTTTATATTTCGTTAACTTTGAACACATATAAAATATGCTTGTTATTTTATATCGTTTAGTAAGATATTTTTTATACGCGGCTTTCTATGGAATAAGAGATATAATATATAATTGTTTGATTTTTATTTGCGTCGCTGTATGTTCCTCAAAATTTTTTGCAACGATTAGGGATTTTTATCGATTATCAAAATACGTAGAATTTTATGCTCCCGGGATATCAAAGGTTTGAAAATCTTTAGTCTGAGCAATAGGAAGCAGTTTAAGAACCAGGACAGAAGATATATATAGCAGGAGGGATTGGGGTCGTTACTAAAATATACACTAAGCAGCAGTCAAGCTCAATTCCCCATTTTAAATTCTTCTTGGTCATAACATCCTCTTGGATATCATATTATTTTATTGAAAATGGATCGACCAAAATATTGTTGCAGTAACGCAGCTTAAAATGGCGAATAAGTAAATGTTTACGTGATCTTGGAAGAGCAATGGCGGACATATACTCACAAACATGTGAATAATTATATTTTATTATCTCATCAACGAACACAACGTTTACCATTCCATTAACAGCTCCAAACTAATACCGATCCGCCATTATGCTTATATAGTCGGTCGTAAATTTCGCGATTCTAATTCTGCGTTTTGTTCCTTTGAGCACTTTTACGACCGTCGCTACCAAAAATGTTAAATTTACTCTCGCCTGAGAATAATACTGTGCCCCGGAACGAATTATTTTTATAAATAAATTTTTCCTTGGAACTCGTGCGTGTGAACCATTATTTCTTAATAGTCGAGTACAGGTAACCCTCCTATAACACGGTAGATAGGTGTCTAGAAAATGCCGTGTTGTGTGAAACCGTGTTATATGACACCCAGAGCCACTACAAAAAGAGGAGTTACGTTCCGAAAATTTATTAAAAACAAATTTTTTTTTTTAATTCTACATAAGCAAATTTATTTTTATGAAAAATATAAATGTATGTATAACAAAACAAAACATATTATTTTAATTTAATAAATTATAATTTGTTTATATCTTTTTTTAAGGTAATTTAGTTTTTAAATATGTTAAGCAAAAATTATGTTATCCAGTGCTGTAGAAGTATAGTGTTGTACAAAGGTTTTCGCAATTTTCTTATCGTGTTATAAGATACCGTGTTGTAGGAGGGCTACCTGTACATAATCCTGAATATACTTTTTTTTTTTTTTAGAATTGTGATCCAAAAGTAAAAGGATCTTGTTCGATTTTTCGAATAATTGTTAAGAATTGTTCGTGTTATCAAATATTCGTGAAAATATCTGTTACTCGATGAGAGTTCTGTTAGTAATACGGTATTGGTTTCAATTTGCTTTCAGACATTCACAGCATGGTGTAATTCGCATCTTCGTAAAGCAGGAACCGCCATCGAATCGATCGAGGATGATTTTAGAAACGGATTGAAGCTGATGTTGCTGCTCGAAGTAATTTCAGGCGAAACTCTACCAAGACCAGACAGAGGCAAAATGAGATTCCACAAGATCGCGAACGTGAACAAAGCTCTCGACTATATCGCTAGTAAAGGCGTTAAATTGGTTTCCATAGGAGCGGAGGGTTAGTTTTGTTTTTATTCGTTATACGATTCGTTGTAAAATAATCGAGAACTTTGTAAGACTATTATTCAGTTTCTAACAGAAATCGTGGATGGCAACCTGAAGATGACATTGGGTATGATCTGGACGATTATTTTGCGATTCGCTATACAAGACATCTCCGTGGAGGAAATGACTGCCAAAGAGGGTCTTCTGCTATGGTGTCAGCGCAAGACAGCGCCGTACAAGAACGTCAACGTTCAGAACTTCCACCTGTCGTTCAAGGACGGTTTGGCGTTCTGTGCCCTGATCCACCGTCATCGTCCCGATCTTATCGATTACAATAAACTTAGCAAGGATAATCCTCTAGAGAATTTGAACACTGCCTTCGATGTTGCTGAGAAATATCTCGACATTCCTCGCATGTTAGATCCCGATGGTAAGTACGTCGTACGTTGTAATCGTAAAAATATCTCGACCGTGAGAAACGAAATATTGAGTGTCATATACATATACATAATATTTTTTATTCTTGTTTGTTAACGCGAAAGAAATTTTTTTATCCTATTGCTTTAGGCGTTTCGTTGGGGTACAGGATGGAACTGTGATCAAAATGAGTTTTCTCGATGTTACTTAAACGTATAAATTCTTAATATTATGTTCCCTTAATATCATATAGATTTGATCAACACACCCAAGCCAGATGAGCGTGCAATCATGACGTACGTGTCCTGCTACTACCATGCGTTCCAAGGTGCTCAGCAGGTCAGCGTAAAGAAAATGCGTGTTGTTCCCTTACTTTGGTTACAAAACGACCTGTGCTATTCTTCACTAATACAATTTTAATTGTATGCTTACTATTTAACAGTGTTTGATCATGCTAATTCCATCGCATAACTGTTTATAATTGTTTTACCCTCAGAAACTAGACACCCATAGAAAAATATTTACTTCTTTGATTTTATCGAATACATGTTTTCTTCTTTTGTTTACCTCTATCCACCCCAAATACCGTACAATGAATTCACAATACTATTAATTAGAGGCACTTGTTAGCTCTTCAATGTACCAACAAATTCCAAGTACCAATTTAATTTTTATTCTTTGACGAAGAATAAATAAAAATTTACAGTGGACGTTATTACGCCTAACACTGCATGGTTTGAGTTTCTTTGAATGTGTTTTTCTAGATATGCGAAATACGCCAAAGACTGACGAGAGGGCTGTGATGACCTACGTTTCTTCGTACTACCACTGTTTTAGCGGTGCACAAAAGGTGTGTGTGGCATATGTAATTAACCAAAACCAAATTAACAGTATGATTGCTCGTGTGATGTTTGCTTAATGAACGTTCAGCGAACGAAATTCTTATTTTTATACGATATACCCAGGAACGTGTTTTTGATTTGTGAAATAAATTCGTCTGTTTCCTATTACAGGCAGAGACAGCCGCGAATAGAATCTGCAAAGTGTTGAAAGTGAATCAGGAGAATGAAAGGCTCATGGAGGAGTACGAACGCCTGGCGTCCGATTTACTGGAATGGATAAGACGAACGATGCCCTGGCTGGCCAGTCGTCAAACCGATAATTCTCTTGCTGGCTGTCAGAAGAAATTGGAAGAATATAGAACGTATCGTCGTAAGCACAAGCCGCCGCGTGTCGAGCAAAAGGCTAAACTCGAAACGAACTTCAATACTTTACAAACGAAATTGAGACTGAGCAACCGACCCGCGTACATGCCGACAGAAGGAAAAATGGTCTCGGACATTAACAAAGCCTGGAAAGGTAAAATATCGTGATCGTGTTCGATAATAAATTGTAGCTTCGTCAACGCAGCGTGGCGAAATCTATCATTTCGTTCGATTACAGGCTTGGAGTTGGCAGAGAAATCGTTCGAAGAATGGCTGCTATCAGAAATGATGCGCCTCGAGCGTCTCGAGCATTTAGCTCAGAAATTCAAGCACAAAGCTGACGCACACGAGGAATGGACAGCAGGAAAGGAGGAGATGCTCACTTCGCAGCACTTCCGGCAATGTAAACTCAATGAACTCAAGGCTTTGAAGAAGAAGCACGAGGCCTTCGAGTCCGACCTTGCGGCTCATCAAGACCGCGTAGAACAGATAGCTGCTATCGCGCAAGAACTCAAGTAATGCACACCTGAAACTCCAATGTTTTATAATTACGAACAAAATTCTGAGAATGAACCTCGATACCAACAAGTTTCTATTTCCAGTACCTTGGAGTACCACGACAGTGCATCCGTCAATGCTAGATGTCAACGAATCTGCGATCAATGGGATCGTTTGGGTACTCTCACTCAACGTAGACGCCAAGCATTGGACGAGGCCGAACGTATTCTTGAAAAGATCGACGTTCTTCATCTGGAGTTTGCTAAACGAGCTGCTGTAAGTTTCGCTTTATTCGTCGTAAATGTTTCCTCGGGGTTTAATCGGTCGTTACCATGTTTTGCAGCCGTTCAACAATTGGTTGGACGGAACCAGGGAGGATCTAGTGGATATGTTCATCGTTCACACAATGGAGGAGATCCAAGGATTAATGGATGCTCATGCCGCGTTCAAAGCAACGCTCGGTGAAGCTGACAAAGAGTACAACTCGATCGTGGGATTGGTACGCGAAGTGGAGTCAATAGTCAAACAGTTCCAAATCCCCGGTGGCCTTGAAAACCCGTACACTACGCTCACTGCATTGGTAAGCGAGGATTGTAATCAATTTTGCTTTGAAATGAAAAGATATTCGATGCAGTTTTTTAATCTCGATGATTGTTGGCGTTGTTCGCGATAGGATCTTACAAAGAAATGGAGCGACGTCAGGCAGCTCGTTCCACAACGTGATGGTACATTGCAAGCTGAACTCCGCAAACAACAGAGTATCCTTTTTCGAATTACAGCAGTGCCCGTTTAATTCTTGATTAAAAACTGAGGAATCAATTGTTATTAATCTGTTTTATGAATCAACGTATGAGATTTCTTAATCGAGTAAATAGATAATGAACTGCTTCGACGACAGTTTGCTGAGAAGGCAAATGCCGTTGGACCATGGATCGAACGTCAGTTGGACGCAGTTACAGCTATTGGTCTCGGTCTTCAGGTGAATAATTGATTAAAATTCACCATTTTCCCATCGAACGTACCAAGATATTAATATGTTCCATTGTTTAGGGTACTTTGGAAGATCAACTGCATCGTCTGAAAGAGTATGAACAGGCAGTCTACCAATACAAAGCTCACCTAGAGGAATTGGAGAAGATTCACCAAGCTATCCAGGAAGGCATGATATTCGAGAATCGATACACTCAATACACAATGGAGACGTTACGAGTTGGCTGGGAACAACTTCTGACTTCGATAAATCGTAACATCAACGAAGTTGAGAACCAAATTCTCACCAGAGATTCCAAGGTAAATTTCTTCAAACTCGATCGCACTTTTTGCTTGGTTATCATTTATAATAATTGTACAATATTTACAATAACTTGGCGTGTATTGTAGGGTATTACGCAAGAACAACTTAACGAATTCCGCAGCAGTTTCAATCACTTTGACAAGAATCGAACAGGAAGGTTGGCTCCTGACGAATTCAAGTCCTGTCTGGTCTCTCTGGGTTACTCCGTTGGGAAGGATAGGCAAGGCGACATTGATTTCCAGCGTATCTTGGCTATCGTTGATCCAAATAACTCCGGTTACGTACACTTTGACGCGTTCTTGGACTTCATGACGCGCGAGTCTACAGACACGGATACGGCCGAACAAGTTATCGATAGTTTCCGTATTCTTGCCGGTGACAAGGTATATATTTATTTTAACGAAATAAGCGACCAAAAATTAATTTCACCTCGAAGTTTTGTAATTACCGTCGAATCGTGTGTGTTTTTAGCCGTACATCTTGGCAGACGAACTGAGGAGAGAATTACCACCTGACCAGGCCGAATACTGCATTCAACGAATGCCTCCTTACAAAGGACCTAATGCTTCTCCTGGAGCATTAGATTATCGTTCTTTCTCCACCGCTTTGTACGGTGAATCTGATTTGTAAATTTACATATCAAAAGAAAAAAAAGAAAAGAAACAAAACTAGGAGAAGATGTTTTTGGACGATTCCCACTTGAAAAGCAAGTCAAATGATATCCGAAAAGTTTGCTCTACGTTTTTGGTACTCAAACAGCACCTCTGCAAGTCAAGAATATCAACGCGAGTAAGAAACCATTATTTAGTATCAAAGAGTACAGTACAATGTTCGGAGCGTTTGTAAGAAAAGGGGCTCTAATAGTTTAATACGCGTTACGAGTGTTATCAATTTTTTATTCGTGATATTGTTTTAACGCAAAGGAATCTGAACGCGAGGCATATCGATAAGTTTTGATACACCAGTATTTTGCTAGGATGATTACCTCCATTGCGAAACAAAATCATCGTATTAGCGTTGAACGAAGGTGGTTCGTACTTAAATTAACTCTGTACAGTGACAATAAATGTCCAAATTTAGATACCTTGACGTTAGAAGGATAACACGCATTCGAACGCAACCAGGCTCTTCTAGAACGTTTGCTTCTTACCTATGGCTACGATGAATCCTATAATTAGTAAGTTAATTCTTCAATTGTATATAAATGTCCCCGAGAGAAGTCACACGAGTACCAATAATAAAGAAAATGAATAAGCATTTCCTTTTCGCAAGCGTTCCAGAAAAGGAAAAATAACGAAAGTGTCGGAAACGAATATTATATTTAACAAAACAAAAAACAAAAAAAAAATGAGACGAAAAAGGAGAACGCAATCGAACAATTTATTGCGTGTAATTATCGCTGGCGTCGATATTGTAGCCTTACGTATCGTTGAAAAAATAATCGAAACACTTTTTCGACAAAGAAGGAAATTTAACACGCATTTCATTTAATTTCAATGAAACTTTGCTTATTTTCGATGAATCTTTAATTTATCTAAACGAGAAACAATTATATTAGTTGTGTTCGAAAAAAAAAAAACGTTACTTGAGCGTCGCACAGTTCCTAAACACGTTCCTGCGGGTCAGCAGTTATTTTCATTGTTTGTCGCGAAAAGTCATGTTCATTGAGCGAATGACTACGAAGAGTCGCTTGGCTGGAACGTAAGGTATAAATCGAGGTTTGCGTACCGTGCGAAAAAAAATTCATGATATATATGTGTATAAATTAAGGATAATTAACGATACAAACGAATTTTTGGAAATCCTTACAAACGTACGAATCGACTTTCTCGCTAAGGATCCAGAAAACATATAACGCTCGAAATCGAATATAACGTTCATATTTTTTATATAAGCGGCGTACACGAATTTTTTAAATGAGAAAAAAAAAAAGCCGCCTTTATACTTCGCCGATCGTACATTAAATGATAGAAACGCGAAACGATGCTAAAGAAAGCAAATTTATTTATTTATTTGAATTAAATGATTATTTATTATTGTTCCGATAATTAATTACGGTAGTGAGCGAAGCCACTTTTTCAAAGTATTTATTTTTATAAATATTTCGAGGGAAGTGATATAAAAACGAAAGGCCACTGTAATATATATAGGACCTAATGTGTAAAATTTCCAAATAGCAGCTGCCATTTCTTGTGTCATGTGTATCGGTGAATCACAGTTTACACTCAGCAGCCTGAAAACTCATTTAGTCCAATCATTATCGTCCAAATCATTATTATTATTATTATGTAAGATCATGAAAGTTGCTCGTGTGTGAAATGCAATTACTTATTCGAGAGAGAGGAAAACAAAGTATACTGTAACTACTTTTTTTTTCGCTTGAGGCTTAATGCTTTTTCATTGTCTATCTTAATGCGTTTTCAGAGTTCATTTTAATTTCTCGTACCTCTATTTTCGTTAAAGAAAGAAAAAGAAAAAAAAGAGTATTGGGCTTTTCACAGAGACGAATTATAAACGAAAAGAAGCACAGAAGAATCTACCGAACGGTATACATTTAGACACAACACGCACACGCACACACATGCACTACTCGCGTACATACATATACACCGAAAAGAAACCATGAATATTCGTGATTACAAAAAAATGTATAATAAATTTGAAATCTCGTACGTATATGTATGATGTAGGTATACAGCTGAAATGAAATTTTCGTTCGAAAATTGTATTTTCGAGAGAGACTTGGTCATATCGTGTCATACTATTATACACGTAAACATTCTCATCGATAATCGTATATACGTATAATTACAATTCTTATAATTTTATTCTACTCAATGTAACTGTTACGATTATAATTCGATCCGACCATCCGCCCGGCACAGTCGTCTCGCATCGCATAGTATATACACTTGTCGACCAACTCTACTCTATAGTTTCGCCTATTTCATCTTCCTAAACTGGTCTCGGATATTGTAAAATCAGAACACGTGGAAAAGAGGAAAAGTAGAAAGAAAGTAAAGAAATAAGCCTTTGCAAAAGGAAGGGAGACCCGCTCAACATTTATACCGGAGTAACAAAGGCGACAAGGCTTGGAATATTGTTTTTCAGACATGACCTAGTATGCGTCATATCACGCGGGCGATATAACGAAGGATATTTAAATAAAAATTTCTAACAGTGTGGTTAAACGATGCTTTTATTCCGAATAAAAAAAATCTTTCGTCGTTACATATACATTCGCGATGTAAATCGCTCAATCGAACGGCACGTCGATCGATCTTAGAGGCTCGAAAAAAGTACATGGACCTTATAGAAAAATAGAGGTTCGATTAAAGCGCCCTTCTCGGCGTTACGGTGCACTAAAACGCATAAGTTAAATGTCGTCGGTACGCCACGAGATAGCGTAAGCTAACCCTACTTATATACAATAACGCTATAATATTTACACGAAGAAACGTTTTAACGATAATATCACCATTTCTCGTTTCTATCGATTATGGCTACTTGCGGTGATAAACATTTAAATCTTGATGGTTCCCGTACGTTGCCGCGAATAATCGTCGATCTTACGAGCTACGGAAATCGTTTTCTTTATTTATATTTGTTCCTTTCCGTTAGACGTTTGACACTTTCACGCGACTCTCGAAACGTAATCGCAGTTCGATCCCGGTGTGTATTTCAGAGAACAGTGAACATTTTTAATATTTTTATTACTCTTTGCAGCCAAGACCAGCGGACCAGTTGCAAATACCTCCGACTGGATCGTACGACAATTTATCAGGACAGGTGTATTCCGCCCCGACCACTTGACCGTTCACCATTTTTGCGCAGGTAATGAACTTTTTGCACGAGTACGGGTGTGGGAAATTGCCCTGATCGAGGCACCGAATGGTACCTTTGCTCGTAAGGAAGAGTTTCCCGTTGTAGGTGGACTTCCCGACCACAGGCTCCTCCTCGTCCTCGTAATAATCGTAGTCGATAACCTGCGGTCGTCTGGGTCTCGTCGTCACGTTCTGTTGCGGTTTATCCTTCGTCTTCGGCCTCTGTCGATCTCTGGGAACCGGCGCGAAACGGACGGTAGTCGTCCTACTCTGTGTCGCGTCTGTTCTAGGTGCTAGCGTAGTGCTTATCCTGCGCCTTAGGGCGTTCCTTAACGACGGTCGACCTGATCGTGTAACCCGATTAATTATTCTGTCTCTCGTAGCGAAATGATTAGAAGTAGCCGCGTTAACACCGACAGTGGAGTAACACAGAGAATGCATTTAGGCACATACGTGATAGTATCCAGCGTGAAGTACGAAAGGTGCCTGCTAACGCAAGGATGCAGACAAAAGAGAAAGTGAGAGTAAATCGATGTGCGTAGAAGTTATGGTTTTGCATTAGTAGTTGCGTCGCGCGTTTATAGAGACGGCTGAAAGGGCACGATGGTGAAGTAGTAAAGCGAAGAACAAATGGTTGAAATTATAGAAGAAAAATGTAGGGTAAAGACACAGATAATTAGCGTAAACGGGTGAACAACTAATGGTGAAATCGACGAGGAACAGCCGTCGAAACGATTAGTTAGCTTCCAACAGAGCCCCCAACAGCGATGTACCTCTTTGAAGGAAGAGAAATGCGATTAGTTTTTAATGACAACCTCAGTTTTGTCAAAGGTTTCGTGATGCTCGCGCGTACAGGAAAAGACATCGGCGAATAAGAAAGATATTTTCTATCGTCTCGATTGGCTTTACCGGGAAAGTGTATGGCATGATATATAAGTTCGTAGATTGCAACGCGATGAGAGGTTATGTCCCAGGTGATCCATGAGCAATCGTGAGCTATGTGACGTGATCATTTAGTTAAGTAGATTAAGAAGTCTGATGGTGTAGTATTTATCAAGTTGAGTGTACCGGTGGTCGCTGACTGTGGTGGAGTCGGTGGCTCCGCCAAGGTTACCGCGATCTCTTGCGCCCGACTACTTTGATCGATATCCTTTTCGGATTTCGGCAACTCCGGTGTGTTGTTCGTGGCATCTGAAACGATATTACATGCATTCATATAACATTATCTATATCGTAAGTACTAAATTATTGCTGTCATTAATTTTGTATGAAATGATTAGTTGATTAGGAGAGGGGAAAACGAACACATGAATTTATTTTTGGTTAAAAGGACAGTAATCGTATCGTTTATTCTATCAATATTTAGTTAGTTGGCACATATTTTAGAATTGGCAGCAATATATTCCAAAATATTCTTAAATTATTGAATTTAAACAGAATTTTTTTATTCGCCAACGAAGCATAGTTTTACTATTTTACGGAGCCAAGTTTATTTGTTTGTGATCGGTAAAATTTGTCATTGCTTTTCGGTTTTATCTGTAAGATCCAATAAGTCTAATATAATAATACTAATATTTTTAATTTTTTGCAGCGTGTCTCGAGACTAGTGTTAGACGAGCTTTTATCGCAGGCGTAAAAGTGCTCCAATCGGATTGGACCAATTCTCTGAGTTGGCGAGCTGCGCATGCGCAAGTAACTCGTCGCGTCCAATACCATCATTGCTCGAGACACATGCCTCTGCAGTAGTTAACGCGAACCGGGTCGAATGATATCGTGCGTTTTTCGTTCTCGTGCTTTTACTTACCGAGTTTTTCGCTTCCATCGGTCGGGCGATTCTTTCGATTGTTCGCGAGTGTGTTCGAAGGCTTGTTTTGCGACGATGTCGAAGAGGGTGTAGTCGGTTTCCGCAACCTGGTCGACAGTGGGCTTCCTGGTGTTCGAGTAGTCATTACCGTAGACTTAGAGGAATTCACCTGTTCGCGGAGCACACGCAGATTGTATTTCGTGTCAACACGCCGGGGCAGTAAGTACAATTTGCTTATTTAACAATGACAGTGTCAGTTGGCGGTCAATTGGTATAAGCGAACAATATAAGCTGACAGTATGGTTTTAAACAAGTAATGAAATAGACAGAAAGCGTTCATTTGGTTAACTAAATATTACATGATTTCGGAGTTATTTGACAAATAAAATTGATCTAACAGAAGTCGCGTTTAACATTATAACTTCGAATATATTTAAATTCGAAATTGAACCGTTAATTTAGTTCGTCATAGATGGCGCTTTCTAACGAACGATCAGAGTAACGTATCATGTATACCTTATCGAGTGTGACAAAACTAACGGCGTTTCTTTTTCTTTTAACTTACGGATAAACTTATACCGATTGAGCTGTCAGCCGTGTTACTTAAAATATTCGTTCGAGATAATAAAGCACTAAAACGATGTACAAGAGTAGAGGAGAGAAGTCAAATTCGACGACAAGCGAATTACATAAATAGTTGTACTTCATTCTCGTGTTAAATCGCCGAATCTTGCGACTAAGCATTAACCCTTTGCCCTCGAAACTTCCAAGAAATATAATTTCCATAATAGATCTATGTCAAATTATTGGTAATTTTATGAAAAGGAAAAATAAGCTAGTTGAATTATATCCCTCGGAAGCATAAAGCAATATTTCCACTTGTTCTTCGTATAAAAAAAGAGATTAAAGTAATTCATTCTTACGATGAGATATTAAGAAAAATGAGTCTAGATAGTGGTCACAAATTTCGATGATTATGACAAATGTTGCATTAAGTACTTGGAAAATTTTATGTATGTATTTTAGTAAAAGTTAATCGTGCATTACTGTACTACAATACACCCCCGGTCCTGCAACGCGCGTCGAACACGTGAGAATACGGCTTAACGCGAACAGTCGGCCGAGCACAAAGGGTTAAGATATATTGTAAGATGAACCAGATGATAAGCGTAGCGCAGACGCGCGAGAACGTGCGACACGCGTCTCTTGGAAGAGGAAAAGTTGTGTTAATTGATCTGAGTACAGAAACATCAGGCGGCAGATGAAGATAGGCAGGCATGGCGGCGAGACAGGTGTCCGTCGAGTTTCCTCCGTACAACGATCCACTTTCGATACTGTTCTTCCTTCCAGTTATACAATTCTCTTTTCGTTAATCGTTGTCGAAGAAAGGATCGAATCAGCTTCTTGTTTCGTTAGGCACGGAAAGAAAGGCGATCGGGGCTCGCGCTTTTGTTACGTATGCGTAGATAGAGAAACTCGTCGAAGCTCGGCTTCGTCGTTTTTTTTTTTTCTCCGATTCAAACGGTAAATTAGCCAGCGACAGAGAGGTCAGTTTTGTTTTGACGGTGCTTCGACGGCTCCCGTTTTGTTTAGTTTAGGCGTAAGAAGAAGGAGAGCGATAGCGCTTATGTTAGCGTATGTTCTAAGGAATTGTTATGCTTTTGTTTGTTTTGATTTTTTCTATGCCGTCGAGTTTCGAATGTAGGAAGTTTAAGTCTAAACTGACCTCAGGAAGTTGCTCTCCGTGGACTTTTGTCTCAATCGCGTTTGGCACGAGCTTCTTTCCGTTGTCTGTCTCTCCTTCATTCGAAGTTTCTTGATCGTTCGAATTCTTCGCAGAGTTATTCGCTTTCGTCTCGACGGTCTTGGCCACTTTTCGGTTTTTCTGATCGCGAAGATCGTTCAGAGCAGTACTGGGTCTGCGTTGGCGTCTCCTGTAAGCGGGCACGGGACGTCCAGACTGTTGCTGCCCTCTGGTCTCGTTCGACGAATTTCCTTGATTATCGACCGATTGTCTGTCGCGATTACGATTCGCTCTGCGACCAAATTCGGAAACCGAGTCGAATTTGATCTTTTGCCGACGACGGTTCGTCCGAGAAATCACCGTAGTCTCTGTAACAGCGACTGTAGATGGCGTTGTGATCGAGTCTTGGCTATCCATCGTAAAGTTTCCGCCATCTTGAACACTCTGCGTTGTTACGTCGGTGATCTCGTTCGTCGTGGAAGTCTCTTCCGAACTTGCGCCGGAATCCTTCTGCGTATTTAATTCCGTTTCTGTCGTTGATTCTAACGTGTGATCTATCGCGATTCGAGTCATCGAAGGTGTGTACAAGGTTTCAGAAGTGGAATCAGACAGTGAATCGCTAGATTGAGAAACTTTATTCTGTTCAGAAATATCCGATCTTGTAACGTCCGTTGATTGAGAAGAATCGGTAGTCATCATTGGGGAATTATCTAACAAGAGTTCTCTAGTTACGGGTTCATTGGAATGCAAGAAAGTGGACAAATCGGTTTCAGCCGGTATCGAGCTGGTTAACGAACTAAAAGGCACTATCGTAGTCTTGCTGTTCGGCGATGCTTCTGTTTTCGCCAAATTTGTTTCCGTCTCCGTTTCTTCCCGGTTGATCGAAGGAGTCGTGCTTCCGACTCTGTCTCCGATTACGCGCATCGTTTGGCCTTCGATAGCTGCTGTGGAACTCTTCTCATCGTTGATCGTACTGTTTATGCTGGCAGAAACAGTAGACTGTTTTTCGGTGTTACTTGGTGAAGTCGATACCATGATAACAATGGCGTCTGTTACTTCTCCCATAGATAAAGTAGGTACCGCTGTCGGTAAGGTAGACGGCTCGGTCGTTGAGTTCCCTGTTTTTCGTGTATCGACCGGGTCAGTTTCGCTTCTGGTCACGTAAAAGCCACGCGGAATTTGACTTTGAAACAGAGTGGCCAGCGGAGGACCGCGCATAGTGGTCGGTCTGGGCGTAGTGGTGGACGAATCTTGGCGATCTATCCTCTTCTTGTTCTTGGTCGGACCATCGTCTTCGTTGTCGGCGATATTGTCCTCGACGTAATACGCGCTCGCTCTGCCGTCCAACAAATCCAATTCGTTTCCTCCAGAGGCCAAAGGCGCCTCTACCGCGTCGCTTCCTTTCCTACTTTGATCGATCTCTTCCAGAGTCCAGGGTTCTCTGACGCTCGCTGGCCGGTTCTCGAAGTCTCCGGAGACTTTGGCCAGGCTCGGTACCGATTCACCCGGAGCCGCGTCTTCCTCGAGAACGAGATTCGCGCGTTTGTCGAGCAAGCTCAAGTACACGGGCGACGGGCTGACGGCGCGATCGTTCGTCCGATAACCAATGAGTTCCTTGAGGGTCGGTAGTCTAATAGCTTCCGAGTTGGCGACCTGAAAATCAGAAGAAGGCGGCACGCTTAGTGACGGTCCTCCGTTCAACGAGATCCTCGTTCCCGTTATCTCTATCGAAGTACCGATCCTCGGTTGCTCGCTTGCTCGTTTCCCGTTCGATCGATTCCCGACGGTCTCGAGTCCGCGACGAATCGGAGAAGGGAAGAAGAAGCAGAAGAATTGTGTCTCTCTTCTACCTGTTCTTCTCGTGTAATAGTTCGGATGATGCATGATAAGGAAGATGGTCTATGTACATTATCGATGACGGCGTGAACGATATAACTCGCGAATGATTCACTGGCCGGAGTCTCTGGCGCCGATCAAGTTGCTGAACACAGACTCGATCTCGATCGTGGACGATTCGTGGGACTCGGTGGTGAGCCAACCGGTCGCCCGGTGTAGGAACTCGCTTTCTATGGGCAACGTGGACCTCTCGACGTTGCTCTGACGGATCTCGTTCGCCGTCTCGTCCTCGTTCGTCTCGCCGGAGGTGTCCTTGGACTTCTCCAAGGTGTCGGGGACCGAGGGGGCGGTGGTCTGCAACGGGATCCTCGTGGTCGACGTCAACGAAGAGTACTTGGTCTTTATCAGAATTTTCTGCCGTTCCGTGGTCGCGGACTCCTCGACGGAGGTCACCAATCTCGTGACCAACGGTTTCGGGGGCGGCGTGGTCACGTAATCCGTGTCCACCAGGTTCTGGACCTCCTGTCGTTCATCCCCCAAGCTCCTCAGGGTGGTCGTGTCCTCATCCGAGGGTCCGCGCGGTGTGGTCCGCAACGATTGCTGTCTTCTGTGAGCGTCTGCCACGTAGTCGAACTTCTTCGCCGGGATCAGAGTCTCCGTGACGGAGAGCTCCGTGGTGCTGGACACTGGACGTCTCGCGTAGAACCGCGACCTAACGTGGGTCGACGAGTCGAAGCTGGGCGATTGCGTGGCGTCCGGTACCTCCTCGTCCCGATACTGGTAACGCGTCCTCGGCTGACGGAAGTTTTGTTGCTGCCTGGGCGTCGAGTCGCTCGCCTCCTCGGATTCCTTCAGCGACGAGTCCAGATCGTAACCGCCCTCCGTGCTCACCGTTTTCCTCAAAGAGTTCGGCACCCTGTACCTAGGGCGATACTCCGGCTTCCGGTTGCTGGCCAGCGTTGATCTGTACGTTTCCTCGCTCCCGGTGGAAATGGCCTCGTCCTCGGTGGCATTGAACGTCGATGGCGGGGTAACGTACCGACTCCAGAACTCCTCCGGTTCCCTCTTCGCCGACAGATCGACAGCGAACACGTCCTCGTCGTTCCCACGATGGATCCTCAGAGTCGCGTCGTTCGAGTCGAGGTGCTCCTCCAGTCTCAACTCTTTCTCATCCCCGAGCGTTGTCTCGTCCACGACGTTCTCCGTCGACTGTGTCATCCTGGCGGTCGTCGAGGTCACTGGCCTACGACGGACGAACAGGCTCTTTCTGCGTTTCGACGCGCCATCCGTGTTGCTCCTCTCGGTTGTCGACGATGGACGCGCGAAGTTCCTCGAGATGGCGTTGTTAACGTTCTCCACGGGTCGTCTGCGTACAAACTTCTTCCTCACGTATCTGGAGTCCAAATAGTACGTTCTGTTGTACGGCTCGAGCCTGCGAGTGGTTTGCGTGGCTATCGAAGGCGTACTCGAAGCGTCTGGTTGGCTGCTCGGCTCCGACGTCTCGTCGAATTCCGTCGAGAAACTCGACGCGGTCGATTCCGTTGCGGCGGTCTCGGTGACCGGTTCTTCGATCTCGAGCTCCGTCGCGGCGGTGGTGAAGTTATCGATCATCGTCGAGGCCGTCGTGACCTCGTCGTCGATCGGCGTCACGGTCGTCGTTTCGAAAGTGGACGCGAAGTCGCTGACCAGTGTGTAATCTATCGTTCTCGAAGTCTCCGCCGTGGACGTGTCGAAAGCTTCCGTCGATACGTCCATCTTCGTGACCGATTCCTCCTCGATGTCTTCGTTAGGTACCGTGTACCCGAATCTCAGCACCACTTGGTCCTGCTCGGTGGAAGAAACCTCCGTTGCCGTAGTGGTGTTTTGAACTGGACGTAGACGCCTGACCACCTTCCTTCTTCGATGAAGCGACCTGTTCTCCTCCTCTTCCTGCGACGCGACGGTGCTGGACGCAACTGGTCGTTTCCTCAGCAGAACCTTCCGTCTCCTAGGAACCGTGGCGTTTCGACTGCCCTGAGTGGTTTGATCGGTTACGTTCGTGGGGAACACGATTCTGATAACGTCTGGATCGAAGTCTTCGACCACGACGTTCTTGTTGGTCGTGGTGAACACTCCAGCATGCTCCTCGTCAGCGCGTGGTCGATCGTCCGGGGTCACGGTGACCACCTCGTTCTCCATGATGGACTCCGTGGTTCGAATCGGCTCCACGGTGTTCGTCTCGACGCTCGATTCCGTGGTCGTCGAATCTGGAGCGCTGTCCAGCTCGTCGACAGAATTCGCGTAAGGTTCCTCGGTGATAGGATCGTTCGGAGGACTCTCCGCTTCCGTTGGTTGCGCGGAAACCGTCGTCGAGACAACGGTGGAAGAATACGGCGCGGTGGACGAGACCGCGTCCTCCGTTTCTTTGCTCTGCTCCTCCGCGTTGTTCCGTTTCCTCGTGTACTTGGTCCTAGCGTATACGTCCCGGTTCACAGTGGTCGGTTTTTTGAACACCTTTATGTTGGTGATTTTCTCTTTCTCGGCCTCGTCCTCGTCCACGGTCGCGCTCCTCGATCTCGACGGCAGGCTTCTCCTCGGGTAGCTCTGAGTGATCCTGACGATGGGACTGTCCTCGAGCTCGTTCGCCTTCGGATGTTCGCCTGTGGCTCTGGCGCTCGGTCGTCGGAACCTCCGTCTGGGAGACTCCGACGCGCTCTCCGTGGTTCTGGCAGCCTCCGTGACTCTGGTCCGTTCTCTGACCACGGAGTTGACCGTTTCCTCGGTTTTCGTTTTGTAGGTGGAAGGCGTGTACCTGCTGGATCCCCGTTGTCTCGTTCGTCCGGGCGCTTGTGAGGATTCCTCGGCGGCGTCGCTCGGCCGTTCTCGGTCGTGCTCGGCGATCGGCTCTTGTCGCGGCCTTAACCGACCACGTCCTACCAAAAAGGACGAGCGCGTGTGGTTTCGCGACGATATACTCACCTTGGGCCTCGTCTGATCGTTGGACGCTGGCAGCGGAGTGGTCGCGGTGTCCGCCGGTCGGTTACGTCGACTGAAGCCGAACGGACGCGGATGCGACACCGTCGCGGCGCCGATTTTCGCGTTCGGCGTCAACAACGTCGACAGGCTCGCCGGCGCCGTGGTCAACAGGATTTCCGTCGCCGAATCCTCGACCAGTTTCACGGTCTCTGTTGTCGTGCTCGAGACCGGTTCTTCCATTTCCGGTTCGCGGACGATGTCGTTCGACGTCGTGGAAACGGTGCTCGAGGCAAAGGTGGTCGTCGTCGACGGCGTCATCGTCGTCGTCGTCGTCGTTGTTGTCGTCGTCGACGTTGTCGTTGTCGTTGCTGCTTCCGTCTTTGCGTCGATTTTTGGCGCTTCGCTCGAAACTGATTCCGTGATCGGTTCTTGACTGGCGGAGATCGTCTCAGAGACGACCTCTGGAGACTTCGGAGTCGTGCTTCTGAATCTCTGAATGTTGATGTACCTGTGGAATTGTTTAGTTGGTCAGTTGATCAGGACGAAAATACGTACAGGATCTAGTAAAATCAGAGGTAAGGACCTAGATTTGGTAGTTGGCGAGCTCTCCTCGCTGGACTTTGATTCCTCCGAGGAGTTGCTCTCGGTACTCCTGAAAACCAGACAATATCTCCGTGAGTGTTAATTTGATAATACTTCTCATGTTCGTACTTTATATACGGTGGCGAACATGTACTAAACAGCGGGTCATAGTTCATAGTCTTCGATCGCCTTCTTTTTTTCAAAATTTATTATAGCTACCCCCCGACTCTGACTGTCCCCGTGCCCTCTTTCGAATAAATATTCTTGAGAGTCTGATCAATAAATAAGAAATTAGGTAAACCGAATTACAAAAATTTTGTCTACAGAGACGATGAAAATATAATTATTCGCGTGTTCTCTAAGTATATGCCCGCCATTGCTCCGAACGCTTACTTTGACGAGATGTTAGGACGTCGAGAACGAACAGACGCCGATTGTTCCTTCGTGTCTTCGTCCTTCTCGTCCACGTCGTTCTCGTTTCTAAACGGTACTCTGTTACAGTTACTTGAGAACATTCCTTATCTGCTAAATTTCCAACGTTTTACTCACCTCGACGTCGTACTCGATGGCCGAGCACGTCTGATGTTAATGTAATTAGGAGTAGCTCTTTGCGTGGAACTGGTTAGGAAGGGATTGCTGATGGACTGTTCTTCGGAGGAAGCCACATCCGCTGTATCGTCGTCGAGGTCTTCCTCTTGGTTGAGCTCCTCGTCTTCGACCGGTGGTTCTTTCGTGGAGGATCTGTTCGAAACGGAAACATTAGTACTTTCTTTTTTCTAGGAAATTTTTCACGTAAGAATCGAAGCCCTGATTCGACGTACTTGGGTCTCTCGATGGTAACGTATTGAGGCTTGTACGTTCGTCTCAGAGTCTTCACTTCCGGAACTTCGTCCAGACCTTCGAACTGCGCTCCGCCTGGTCCGTTCGCGCGATTTTTATTCGTAGATGTGCGTTGTCTGCTGACGCTTTTTCCAGCCTGACGGTTCAGCACGCGTTCGTACAGGGTACGACTTATCGTGGCTGGAGTAACTGGCTCGTTACCCGAGCTGGTCTCGTCGGGACTCTTGTTTTGGATAAACAGTTGCTTCTCCAATTCCTCTATACCACCTGTGAAACGAATAATTGGATAAATAAATAAAAAAACAATTGTTTAGTTACACTACCGATGCATTACCGTTGTAATAGCTTAACACTAGATTGCCCAAGGAAGTCATTTTGACTGCTTTTTAATTTCAATTAGAAAAACAATTATGTATATAATGACACAATTTCTTAGAATTTTGTGACTTTTTGTACAACATATAAATGCGTTTATTAATAATTGTAGTTACCTCCCCCCTCCTTCATTTCCGTTGAACTTGTGTTATATTTATATTGCCCAAAAGCAGTCATTTTGACTGCTTGGGAAATTTTAATTAATCAAATGACTCTTATTATTGAATTGAGTAAATTTCTTATATGACCAGTTCGGTTCTGTATTAAAATAACAGTTTTCATTTTTTTTTCGATTATCGACACATGATAACATACAAGTACATGATAAATTGTCGATTTGGGCGTATACTTGATAAGTTGCAGTTTCTCAATAAGCTAAATTCATAATATTAAAACCTAATATTAAAAATTAATTTTAAACAAATTTCTTTACACATTAGTTATTCTTTCACAATGCAGTCATTCTGACTGCTTTTGGGCAATATAGGTATATACTAAGTTTCAGTCTTTCTAGCGTTAAAAAAGAAATAAGAGAAATATCCGAATTAATCACCAGCTTTCTTAATAAGCATTATTAACTCCTTGATGACCTTAGGGTCCTCCTCCTCGTCCTCGCTACCGATCACTTTTTCCGGGTCGTGTTTCTCAGACTTGGAAGTCGTAGATGGCGCCTCTGTTGTCGTCGTGGTCGTCGTGGTGGTGGGCCTGTTTCTAGTGATCGTTTTGTACAGAAGTGGTTTCAAAGTAGAGGACACTTTGGGTTCTTCCTTTACTTCTTCTTCTTCTTCTTCATCTTCTTCTTCGATTTCGTCATCGTCCTCGTACTCCTCTTCGTATTCCTCTTCGCTGTCCGGTTTCTCGGTGGTCGGTTTACGCGTGCTGCTGTACAGATACGTTGTACGACTGGTGGCAGCCGTTATAGGCGCCCTGGTCGTCGAAACGGTGGTCGTTTTCGACTTCGGACAGACCACGTTGCGCGGATAGTCGCACGAATCGGCTGCCTTGTTGAACACCAATCCTGCCCGAACATATCGTAAAGCACTCTTAGAAACGATCACTTTCATTTGTATATTTAGATAATTATTCTTATGTGTATCAGTGTTATGTACAATCATAATTTCATATTTACGGTTATGTGTATTCTGAAGATGCTACAAACGGATGAGTCAATAATAAAAGTAGCTTGTTTAAGCGTTTATTAGAATGCTTTTAAGGAATATTGTCTGACGCCATTTTAATATGAGTAATCTCTGTTCAAAGGAGAAGAAGAAGAAAAAGAACCCTTTGTTCTATAGTCCCAGCAGGTTCTTAGTTTTGAAATAATTAAAATAACTATCGGGACAGTTAATATGATCTAGATTTAGTAATATCTTAAAATAGAGTCCTATAGTTAAAGAAATGGGAATAGTGCCTTAATAGTTCCCTTTCAAAAGGCAAAATTTTCTAACACTTGTCTTCTACACACCGAGTGTTGATGTAATCTGCAAAAAGTAAGTTAATAAAATCTTGGTTTAATGATGGTTACAGTTTCCTTACCCGAGGGACAAGTGAACTGATGCGCCACGACGCCAAGACCACCTGGACCAGCATCCAAACACCAAAAGTACTTCTTGCAGTCTCGAGGATGCGAGAAGAATCCTTCATCTTCGCACTTGAAGTCTGTTTAAACATGGACGATTAGAGGGAAATGTAACGACGTTGGTAAGATTGATATATCGAATCGGTTCATAAGTCTTTGCGTATTTTCGCTCCAGTAAATTTTGGCTGAGTCTTACGCACGTGTACTTTTGAATTAATAGAAACTGATGGATAGTTTGAGACAGCTTTCTATATTAACACTGTAAACCAAAGTGAGCCACACGAGGGTACTATTAATATCATTATAAGTAGTTATAAATATAGAAATAGTGACCGTACAGTAATCAAACGAGATTTTAAACCTGAACAAACATAAGAAATTGAATAGATGAACCGACCAGGTAACCGAAGCAATCAAATCACGTATAATACGTCTAATCAAAGTATCGAATACGTGTAGACTTATGAATTTAATAAACCTAATCTCCCAGCCAAATTTACCAGTTCCAGGATCAGGTGTAGTCGGTGGTTCCGGAGTGGTCAGCTTGTTGCTCAGAGATTCTTGACCAGAGTCGTTGTTGCCGCCCCCTTTGTGGCGATTCTGCTTTCTACGATTCCGACCAGAACTGGGTCTCTTCGGTCTACTCTTGCTCTTTTCCCTCGATCTGTTACTCTTGTCCGCGGTTCTCACCGCGTTGCCACCGTCCTCCTCCTCCTCCTCGTCCGAGGACGGATCGTACGACCTCCTGTCGACCTCCTTCTCCTCCTCCTCCTCGACGCTGGCTTTGGGCCGCGCAAACGTCCGGAATTTGGGCCTCGGTGAAGAGGTGACCCGTTTCCTCGTCGCGGATGCCGCGGTAGTGGTGCTCCTTCTATTCGTACCTTGTTTCCTTCCCACGGTGTTGCTCTGGACCCCTGACACGCGAGTCTTCTTGCGATTGTCCAAGGTCTTTGACTTTTGAACCGTATTCCTGTCGGTGGGAAGATAAAGAGACTTAATTGAAGTCGTTTCTATGGTATACTTTCTATGGTTCTAGTTTACAGTTTACTAAACAGGATGTTCTGGGAAGAATTTTAATGGGAGAGTCTGGAAGCCAAAATAAGGCGAAAATTAAGCCTTTGCACTCGGCTGTCTCCTCTGAAGTCATCCAGCAAAGAATTTGAATGTACACTCCAAGGAAACACAACGATATTATTTTTTTAAAGTGATTATATAAAAAGAAATGTGTTTACTTGGATATTTACTATATATTTCGTAAGAAAGTGTGCGTTGAGTTAGTAGTAGGTGGTCGAAGAAAAATCACCGAGTGCAAAGGGTTAAGGGGGTAGGTACGGGTAATGCAGCGCGCTGTAAACCGACAAAATTTGGCCCGAAATATGGGTTTCCGAAATAAGAGATTTTGCCCTTATTTGAGCAGCTTTTGGGTCGGATGAGGTCTCATTCGATAGAGGAAGGTCCAATGCAGCGCGCGCTGGTCAGTATCGAACGAGATTGTGTTCACATTTATTAATATCAACGTCGAAAGTCGAGAAAAAAATTGACAAAATACAGCCATAGAATCGAGGTCTTTGGAGGTTATTAAAAGAGTTGTGCGATTCCAATACTGACCAGCGCGCGCTGCATTGGACCTTCCTCTTTCGAATGAGACTTGCAGCTGTATGCAGGTTGCCTATCTACAGGCGGAACTTTAAACATCAATAACTTTTTAACGAAGCCTCGATCAACAAATCGACATTCTTCATTTTCGTCTTATTTTGGCCTCCAGAACCTTCCATTAAAATTACCTCCCAGAGTTGCCCGAACACCCTGTATTTCCAAATGAGTGCGTTAGAACTTTCAATCGTCGTGACCGCCATATTTATTATCCGCTTGAACACAGTTGCTCAACGCGTTAAAATTAGTAAAATTTATTATAAAAATTCTTGTTCGTTTCGATCAACGATTTATGGCCGAACTTACGTGCTGTCGGACAAAAGAGTCTCTTTGGCCGCTTCGATCAATGGATACGGACGATCGTGGCACTTGCCGCGGAAATCGTCGTTGTCGATCGTCCAGAACATGATACCGCCCAAGTTCTTCTCGTTCACGTATTTGGCTTTCAGTTTCACTATGTCCTCGTCGTCGTAGCCCACCCACTGGTCGCCTTTGAACGCGTAAGGGCCCATCGCCTTCGGGTTCGGCTGGATCACTTCCCAGTCCTCCGTGGCTGCGAGGCTCTCGCAAATCTGAGTAGTTAAATTATCATTATTATCACGAACGTGTAGCATGATATGTTACAATGTCAGATAGGCCATTACAAAAGAAGAAAAAATGAAATGAAAATTTAAATGAAAACCCGACCTCGTAATAAGCAAGATAACCCTTTTCTCGTGTCGCGTCGCCCTCGATTCCCGGCCCATCCGCCGGGGATCCCAATTCGGTCGCGTCCTGATTGAAAAGCGTGTAAGACCGTCCGTAGGTTGGAATGCCTAGAATGATCTTCTCCGGGGAGGCACCCTTTTTCAACAGATACTCGATCGTGTAGTCCTGCAAAGTTCTCGAGTTTAGCGCTCCGTGAACTCCGATGCAGGCGTTGTTCGATAACTTGAAAATACTTCTAAGAGAACGATCTGAACGTGGTGGAGACGAGCGATAGTGATATACAGGGTGTAAACGATAACTTTGGCAAAAATCATAGGGTAAGTAGAGGCCCCATAGACAAGTATTTTAAACATGGGAACCCGTGTCCGGAAATGCACCAGTAAAAAATTACGGCGATCTTTAACTTCGGTCTTTAGCGCCTGATGGATAGAAAACCCATCGTACTGGAAACTGTTTCTTTTGAGGTGGGTCAGTCGTGTAGGTGACAAAGATGACAAACATTGAAAATTTTACGATGAACAACGTAAACATTTGTGGCGACGCCTCCCATGCTCGCCACTAGAGGGGTCGCGCTCTCACAAGCGCTCGACCGACCCCTATGTTGCTATATATACATTCCTCGAACGACTTCCCAATATCCCAGTCGTCTAAGGCAGGGCCTGCTAGAAAGCCTTACTGATGAGTCCACTGGCAGGCCCGGACGAAACGCGCCCCCTCCTTTCCTTTTCTGTCCTCCTACGAATTCTCACGAGATCCTCTACCCGCAGTGAAGCAGCGCCACACATTTAATGAAATCATGGTCAAGAAACAATAAACTAAAAAAAGTCAACAATTGCCAGATCGCCGTAATTTTTTACTGGTGCATTTCCGGACACGGGTTCCCATGCTTAAAATACTTGCCTATGGGGCCTCTACTTACCCTATGATTTTTGCCAAAGTTATCGTTGTAATTTTATATTGTTTAACACGTTGCCTGCCAGACCAAACCCCTCAAATTAAAAGGAAAATTAAATTTTGTTTTCAGACAATTGGAAACCAGCATACCAAGAATTTGTCATGGAATTTATTTTCACAGACTCGTTAAAATTCAAGGGCCCTACCTAGCTTTATTTTCTTTTACATCTAATCTTGAGAATCAATTTTTTTAACTCCTTGGTGAAAAATAGTGTCACCCATGTGTGGATGACGTGACAGTCAATGTGTTAAATGACTACCGAGCCAAACTCTATCATTTTAATCTCTCAGAACGTTTCGACGCGTTGTCTTCTTACGATCGTCAACTCGGTGTCGTAGTTATACTCGTTGTCCTCTTCCAAGGGATATAGAGGGGAGTGGTGATTCACAGCCGGTTCGTAGGACGAGTGATAATCGTACGAGAGGAGGTTGATGAAGTCCAGATACTCGTTTAATCTAGGTACGTCGTAGCCTTTGTCGACGTACTCGATACCGGCTGGCATCGCCAGGGACAGCAGCAGTCTCGGTCTTCCGGTTTTCGAGGACTCTCTATCGAACTCCTCTCTGAGTTCCTACAAGGACGGTCGTTACAATAATTAATAAAACAAGTATTTTACAGACCCTATAATCTCGATAAAGTAGAAAAATAGGGGGAAAAAGCTAATCGTAGTAGAACATGCTCCATTTTATAATCTGCAACTTTGGTTCGAAACATTATTTCATACAACGAACGGTTTTCAAGTAATTTATACTAAACTGTACAAGATGATAAGGGGGAGCGAGTTTACCTGCACCAGATTGGCATAATTGTCTTTGTCTCGAGGCTTTCCACCGTCCCTGAAGGCCGGGTACTCCCAGTCGAGATCGAGGCCGTCAAAATGATTCTTTCGAAGGAACTTGATCGAATTCTTAACGAATTCCCGCCTCCTCTCTTGGTCGGCCACCATCGGTGAAAACCTGCTGGAGCCTTCGTTCCAACCGCCGATGGCCAACATGGTCTTCAGGTTTTTGTTGTACGTTTTTAGGCCGGTAAATTTGGCATAACCACCTGTCGAGATCACGCGTGATTAATCGTCGCGTTTCTCTCGCGTTCGAAATAATCTGATTTACCCCGAGCGGACGACTTTGATTCTGGATCACGGACGAAGTATACGAGTAGACCTTACATCCAATTTTAATAAATTTGTTTGACGCACTATGGAAAAGTTGTTCAGTACTTTTTTGTAGGTATCCACGAGCTCTACTTCCAGACTAAATTTCAATTAGATAAGTTCATTATTCTAGGAGTTATGGTCGTTTGAAAATTGCGTTTTTTAATCCCTTTCATAGTGAACTCACATGTATTTACACACACACACTGTGGCTGTCTGCCCATCAATACTAATTCAGTGAATAGTTTCTTAATTGACCGCCATCCATGAGAAGAGGGCGCTAAAATCACCTTCGAATTTTCAGGTCGGTATGGCAGTCAGTTTGGACCATGAAAGTCCATGAGGTGAATGGTCTATTCGTATACCTCGTCTGTGTCCATATACCTATGATTCTATTAATTTTTTCTCCAGTCTGTACCTTTTTCGATGTCTTGATACTTGTCGAATGGTTTCAAAGCATTGTCCTTGGTAAACCCGCCGAAAGCGTAGATCAAATGAGTGCACAAGTACGGATTAATGTTTTGCGGGGAGAATTTTGCCGTCCCCGGTCGATAGATCGACCAGTTCGTATAGTAACACACGATCTTTCGCTCGGCATTTCCTGGAAAATCGAAAGGTGATCGTTTTACTTTCAGGTCACTCGATAACGGTCTCGTATAACACGTGTAAAGTTTCCACTGGGGTCCCTACGATTGAGAAACACCGTCGGCATGGTTGGATCGACTAACGATTCCAGTAGTCGAGGCGCCAATCGGCCAACACCTTTGCAATGGCCTCCAACGTCACACGGTCGTTACGAATGATTTCTGAACGGGAACTGTAGTCGTAATCCCTAACGAAAAGGTTAAGGACCCGTAACATGACACCTGGGGGCACCTGTCTCTTCTGTATTAACGACAACTAAGCCTCTTTCAGGCTTATGTGTCCCTTTCATTGGTACATTGACTATACATTTCTTTTTTTTTTTTAGTAATTGCACTTGTAAATGTATGTACATACCTTGAATATAAATAACTGTCTCTTCTGTCTATTAACCAGTTAGCTGTGGCGCCCTCTTCTGAGAGAGCGCACCTATTACGTGTCGCGAAAATCGAGCGCATACTCGTCAATCACAGAGTAAGTGTCGCTGTTAAAATATTGGATCAGAAAGATGGGTTTATTTTATAAAATTGACAATTTTATTACTAACATTTACTTATTTGGTCAGGTTATCTAACCCAGATCTAACCCAGACATAAACATGTATTACGTACATATTAAACGAAAAAAAGAAAATTAATCGGCCATCAAAAACATCTAAAAAACGTTATCATCGCACATAAATAAATTCGTTATGCGAACTGATAAGCTGCTTCAGCTGGTGCATACGGGGACGCGTGAGTTCATTTCAAATTATTCATATTTTTTTATTTGTTTGTTTTATTCCGGCCTGGCCTCAAAATATTCTCCAATTTCAAGATGTTTAGAATAATTTACACAACTAGTGTTTAACAATTTTTAAATAAAATTCGGAGTGCAAAGGGTTAAGAAGGCTGGTGGCCGCATCCTGGTGATCAGGGACCTGCGGTTGAGTGGGAATGCGGTGGGAGGTGTGCCTCCCACCGGGAGGGGCCTAAAAAGGCACCGTGTGGCGGGGGACTCTGTAATGTCTCATTAGAGTTCCCGGTCCCTCGCCAGACGCCTGAGGATGGTCACCATGGGGTTTTAGCCGGTAAGAGTCCGGTCATGGTGTCCATGAGGATTTCCCAACGTACAAAAAAAAAAGATCAGTCCGGTCATTTATCCGACTTTTACTATATCTTATCACACGTACGGGATCGTAAATTCTAATCTTTCTCGAATCGGTGCGACGTACGGCCGTTAGAGAAACCGTGTCGCAGAGAAATTGAGACGCGTTTGGACTTTCGTTTGTTCGACGTGAAACTGATACTCCATGAATTTCCACGCCAGCAATGTTCTCGTTAATGCCTAGCAACCAGGTGCTTGAATCTATATGATCAATCGTTATCTTGACACATATCTGACAACTAGTGGCATCTTTTGCTTGAGTAATACGCGGAATACGAATAACATGTGAAATATATTCGTGTTATTTTACGACAAAGAACATGTATTGATACCAACTTAGAGTCGAAATCTTTCTTACCGTCAGAGTTTACAGACGTTTGGGACGAGGCGTGTTTACTCCGCGCGATTCGCGATCGTATAAACGTTTGAACAATTAACGAGCATCGAGGCCAGCCGCGCGGCGTGTGTCGGTTTCTCTTTCATTTTCGCACGTTCATCAAGTTGTCAAACCGACTCGCTGGCCACCTTGCCCGGATCTCTACCGACGCGTACTTTCGATCAGGGAGTTACCCTAGGTGCTTTCACCGATCGAGCGAATCGAGGCCGTCCGGAGTCGATGCAAAAATCAAGTCTGGAATTAACAAGATCGCTCATGACCCTGACCACCCGCGTGGCATCGAGGACTCGCCATCTCGGTTGCAGATTGTGACACGGTTTCATGGAATGCATAGAGATGGCGACGGTAACGATATGCAACTAACGCCTGAATTTATCTGACTCGTCCTATTAGCTGAAACAGTTTTTATCGAAAGTCGAACGAAACTGATAAAAGTTTGTAATCAGTTCTGATATAATAGTAATTGTTTTCCTGCTAACGTTTCTGCTTTAAACAAACGAAACTTTTTACAGTTAGCAGAGCACAAATTTAATAGTTTTTCGATTCACTGTGTTTTTCCAGAGTCCCGGTTGTGTTTACGTCTCGTGTCGCCAACCCTTTCGACTTCTCTTCGTAACACCTGCCCAATTGTCCCCCACTAATTACCAATCTCCCTTCCCTTTTTCCCACGGCACACCTAGCGGTATTCGTTTTCCCGTTTCCCCTTTCTGACCCAAGTCACGTTTGGCATTCCTACGAGGCATATTTAATCAATCATATTAATTTCACTTGATCTCGAGCGTGCTTTCTCACATTCCTATTTAGTGCATACCGATAATTCGTGCAAATCTAGCCGTAACTGTTCGGAATATAATATACAGGATGTTCGACCATCCCTGGGAAAAATTTTAATGTGAGATTCTAGAGGCTAAAATAAGACGAAAATCAAGGATACCAATTTGTTGTTTGAGGCTTCGTTAAAAAGTTATTACAATCTTGAAATTGTTTTCTTCCGTCGAAAAATTTCACACCTTCTCGAATTTTTTTCTCGAAAATGCGTAAGATTTCGGGGGTATGTCTATTCACCAAAAATGATTGTAATTGAACCCCGCAACCGAAAATAATTTTTCCAGACAGATTTGAATTTTTTTTCTTCCGTCGAAAAATTTCACACCTTCTCGAATTTTTTTCTTGAAAGTGGATAGAATTTCGGGGGTACATCTATTCACCAAAAATGATTGTAATTGAACCCCGCAATCGAAAATAATTTTTCCAAAACGATTTGAAATTGTTTTCTTCCGTCGAAAAATTTCACACCTTTTCGAATTTTTTTCTCGAAAATGCGTAAGATTTCGGGGGTATATCTATTCACCAAAAATGATTGTAATTGAACCCCGCAACCGAAAATAATTTTTGCAAAACGTTTTGAAATTTTTTTCTTCCGTCGAAAAATTTCACACCTCGAATTTTTTTCTCGAAAGTGCGTACGATTTCGGGGGTAATTGTAATGACCAAAAATGATTGTAATTGACCCTCGCAACCGAAAATAATTTTTCCAAAACGATTTTGAATTTTTGAATTTAATTGTTAATAACTTTTTAACGAAGCCTCCATCAATAGATTGGTATTCTTGATTTTCGTCTTATTTTGTCCTCTAGAATCGCCCATTAAAAGTTTTCTCGATTATGAAACATTCATAAATGCAATAAAAATGGGCAATTAGTGGTTCTAGATGAAGTAGCTTCGATGACCGTGACCTTGACATATCTAATCTTTTTACCGCTGCTATATGGTTTTTAGTATGAAATCAAGGTTTCCTTGAAAAATGACGGACCTTCTAAAGCCTGATAAAAATGAGGCCCAAAATTATTCGTCGCCCCAACAAAATTTAGCTACTCCACTGGCGTGTGCTCGAAAAGGTTGAAAACCACTGTATCATAGAAACTGCAGTCTAGGCATAGATCGGTCATAGAGAACCCGATCGAGATTCTCTTTCACCGCGCTCGCGCACGTTTGAAATAGTTTCGCGCATGTATCGCGACGGTAATGGAGTTAAGCACGGTGCATAATACTCGAGATAATATCGGTAAGAGGCGCGCTTGTTACCCGCAAACCTAGAATTCTTACAGCGTCCAACTCGCAGTGCGGTTTAGCCTCGCGAACAATACGTCGACACGATTTTCTTTCATCCTCGCACGTTCCCGCGGTTATTAACGCTTTTAACGTTGATACAGTGGATTTCCTACCTTGTTGGATAAAACAAACTCAATTCTATTCATTTAAAGTCCAAACATCTTGCAAGCCATTATCGACCACTAATAATCCACCAAGTATAATTTTTTAAATTCCGAAAATTAAAAAAAGAAAATTTAATTTTATTTGTTAACTGTATATCATTTATATGGCTTGTATTTTATATTATAGGGTACTCAAACCGGTACATGAAACATATCGTTAAAATAAACTGCCACGAACAGAAATTCTTCTCTTTCGAACGAGACGACCGTTTAGTTCGTAAAACCGTCGATACTCGAGCGTATCGTCCCGTCGAGATCGGCTCCCCCGTCGATCTCTTACGACTCGAAGTATTTATCGACGGCTCGTTGCCGCCTGGCAGGACACCAGGAATTTTACGATCGGCTTGGAAACGAATTCCATCTTTTCCCTTAGCGTTCCCTACCGCCCATAGATCACGATCTCACCTTTTACCGCGGTACGATCGTTGCGTCAATTACGGCCGTTTCGTTTCTGTGAAAAATCCCGGAAACGGTTACCGTATCGATTACGAGATGCAGCGATAGAAACTTGGCGGGAACGATCGCCTTAAACATTGCGCGCCATTTTACGCTGACAATGTTACTTTCGACCGTCCCTCCCTTCCCCTCCCCTCCCCCCGCCCGTGCGATCGACTGCACCGCGAGCGAGCCCGTTTTTGCCGCGACCGTTTTCTCCGAGAAGGTGCATACGTTTCACTGGCCGAGGTACACACGCCATGTCCAGTGAAACTGCATCCGTGCGTGTGCAGGTCCTCACGTGCACTGGCTCGAAGAAATTGCTGGAGGGATACCAGAGATACTCGGTCACGGCGTAAATGGGCCATACAGCGACTTTGGTCTTAACGATATACAGGGAGATTTATTTAACACGTCACTCTCTGAACACTATTAGGTCGTACCATAAGTTCTAATAACTGCCGTCCGATATTCTGAAATTGACGAGGATAAAGTTTGTAATTTAATAGAAAGCAAAGAAAATTTATCAATCGGGGGGACTTTTGAAATTTCAAACATAGTAATATCAACAATTCATAGGAATGAAATAGATACACTAGCTTACGGAACGAAATTTCCTTGATCGTGCTAGAGCCTGATTGCATGAATATTTTTGTTAGCACATAATAAAACCGAACCTTGCAGGAAGGTTTATTAGCGGGTAAACAATTTGAAAATGTCAATGTTTTAATGAAAAGCATCGAACTACATTTTTAAAAAGATCGAACAAGTTTTCTAGGTTAGTTTTCTATGATACAATGGCTTTGTCAAAACGAAGGAGAGGGAGTAGGCGAACGAGAAGAGGTTTACTATTTTTCATAAAATTCCATTATATGTTTAAAATATTACTTCAAATTAATTGGATGTCAGTATCAAATAAAAAAAAAAAAGTAATACTTTATAATTCATGTAATATGCTAAAATTTGTTCCCAAATGGGCCCCGGCGGTGTTTGGTTCGAGGCTGGTTATGCAGTTGGAAGAGAAAACATTATCTTCCAAGCACCAGTCATCTTCCGTTTTAAGACTACCAATTCACAAATGCTATAAGCGTCTCGCTGTTCACGGCATAACAGAAACAATGTTTTGCTCGTTGCGGCCATTGTGAGAATTACTTCTGCCTCGATCGCTTCTTCGTTCCTTCCTGACCCAGAAAACAACCATAAATGTAATGCACGATTAACCTCGCTCTTGAATTTCACGAGTCACATCATAAATTTCTAACAGAGATAATGAGTTTGGAACGGTACAGAAATAAATCACGAACACAAAGCATCTGGTTGCACTGTTCAGAGACACAATGAAGCAGCCTTTCACAAAAAAAACTAAACAAGACCTAAAAAATTGTCCTGCTACTTTCTATAACCATACAAAAAAAAAATATTCAAGAAAAAGAATTGTACAACACTTTCTTTCAACGCTTATCCACATCATTTTCTAAATTATAATTCGATGCAAACGCCTCATGATTATTTCATCAGTATTTGTAACACGGTATAATTAAGATATTAAGTCAGTTTGTGTTTATCGTTGCACTATTAGTTCGAGCGAAGATCGTTCTAATTCGATCGGTAATAAAGTTTAGATGGAAGGTTGAATGTAATTACTCCACATTCGGCATGAAAACATTGAGATTGCGCAGTATGCTTCAATCGTTAAATGCGAGGGAAAAGAACGGAGACAGGTTATGTGCGCGAAACATGCGAAAGAAAGTCTGGAACTGCACGCGGAGAATATTCTTCTAAATAATCAAATTTGGGGTTGCTCGATTTTAATGTTTCGGTAATATTTAACCATGCAAAAATCGTGGTTTTCTATTTTTCTTCCAATCTGTTACGACTGACATAGTCTAGGGCGATGCATGTATGACTGCTGCCACCTACCGCAAGGAATAGATCAACCGATCTGCCCCCTAACTACGTGTACGGGGTTAGTTCGTTCGTGTAGTCAGCCACGCTCGGACGTACAAAGGGCAAACAGTCCTCCCACGCTGTATCTAACGTGTTTATATATTAAAGTATTTTATAAACTTTATGTGTGTCGTCCTTCCTGCGTTTACCCGCACGTCGCACCATCAACACAATTCCCCCCTCCCCCCTAAAAAAAGTATTATATTACACTCGTGGGGAATCTCAGATCCGATCGAAGAAATCGATATACCTTTCCGTTCGATTCAATGTCGTCCTATTCGATCGTCGAAATGCCAAGCAATTTAGATGTTAATTTATTTGAGGATTATTTCATCAAGGTAAATTGAAAGTCTTGCGATAGACTAATGGTCGGGTTCGGTCGTCGGTCCGCGATGATGAACGATCGTTAATGACGACCGCGGGAAATTGTAAAACGCAATCAAAGACGTAATTGGTCGTCGACGGTGGTATGAGTCACCAAGGACCGTTTCGAGTTTCTAATACCGATTCGATACGACGAAATTTCACTCCATCCAGGTAGGAACGCGTTGACGAAATATACTCACCGTGTTGGATCGTCGCTAGTAGGATAACCAGGCAGAGGAACAGCGACACCGTCTGCGTCCCCTGCAACGGAAGAGAGACTTCAACAATTTTGAGAATACAGGTGACAAAATTAATTTAAAAATATTTTCCATAAAAAACTATAAAGGATTTATTTAAGAACTTTTCGTAGATCTTCGATAGTTTTCGAGGTAGCATGGAGGGATGAAATGTTAATGAAATCGTGCCTGGAGAGGTTAAGTGTGATTCGCGTATGAATGAATTCGTGGTTAGTCGACGTGAATCGAGCGCGAATTACGTGACTCGCGGTGAAACCAAACGATCGTTTTTGCGTGCGTCGAGCAAACATACGTAGGATTCTTTGGTGTTGTTCAAACATCAGCGTGTGTACGCGGAAACGAATTGTTTATCGATATTTCCGGGTTTTAACTGTGTCTATATGCAATTACACCACTATCGTAGGCTGACGAAGACGGGCGTTAACCCTACCGATGTTTATACGTTCGAATGCTATACGCAGCTTGTTCCAAACACGGTTAACTTTCCACGAATCACCCTCTCAAAACCCTTCCACTCATTGTCTCGAACTCGATAAAATCGGACGAAAGCAGACGAGAGAATTGATAAAAGCAAGCACACGCAGTATGTATACAAAAAGATGTCGTAAGAAGATGAATCATGCAATAAGAAAAATGTTTATTTTCCGTATTTATAATGTGGGTAACTCATTTCTGTTCCAGAGCCAGTTTGTACATTGCTACCATGTCGTAAACCACGTTTCTATAGTTGTTTTGACAATAATATTTATAGACAATTTTTCAATCGGACAGAATTATGTTGGTTTAACACGTTCACTGCCAGATCAAAACCGTATAATATTCTGCAAATGTAAAATGTTGATTTCAGACCATTGGAAGCTACATAACCTAACATTTGTTTCAGTAGTTATTTTTGTAAAATATTTATTCAAACTTATTTCCCTCAACGTCTCAGCTTGAGAATTAATTTTTCTAGTATCATAATGGTAAATCCTGTCACTCATATATGGGTAACGTGGCAGTCAAAGTGTTAAACAGAAGTCAATTCATGTACTTAAGTAACATTCTATATTATTCACGTAATAGTATTTTACTTCGTGCTAAGACGAATTCAACGATCTGGTATACTATAACCTTTAGATGACCTTGAAGCAAAGAGTGCGTAATTGAATAATAGAATAACTCAATAAAAATTATAAAGTTCGATTTAAGAAATGGATGCAGTTGCATTTTTTAGATGCATCGATGCGTAAATATGGATCGAACTTTGTACATCGTTCGATGCCCTTCGATATTTGTATCTCTAATCGTTTCAGAGATATAGTTTTTTCCTCGATCGAGCGAGACAGCCCTCTATACACCTGCCAGCAGTCGGAGGCGATGATTTTATTGTATACGACGGGAATTCGACGACAAATAGACCACAGGGCCGTGACACCCAAGGAACCACTCCTCGTTACGTAATGCGTGTAAAGAGAAAGCAAGAAGAAAGAACAAACACCGCTCCGCGGCGACTTTCTCGCGCGTTTCGGCCGGCGAGCGCGTTACGTTAACGTTACGTCGTAACACCATTCCTCGCGATAGAACAATTAACGGCTCGACGGAGGAGGATCGCGATCTAAGATCGCGCATTCCATTCCTACGGACGCCCGGAACTCGCAATTTTTCGCTTTTTCCTTTCGCCCAAGTGTGCGCGATTTTACGCCGCCCGTTCGACGACGAACAGAAGACACGATTCGTACGGTACTGACTGTAAGGAAAGATTCCTTTTTACACACCATACTATGGTAACCATAGAGCTCTGCCGCCGAGAAGGACCTCTCTCTCTTTTACTCGCTATTCTTTTCTACGTTCGACACCCGACTCCGGGCTATTTTTGCACTCGAGCTAACGAAAGGGTCAACAAACGAACACACTAAATGTGACTCATAAGTGTCTCGTTGGCCCGAGAATGCATACAAGGTGTTCGGCCAATCCAGAAATTCGAAAGTCAAGAATATAAAATTTCTTGATCGAGGCTTCGTTAAAAAGTTATTAAAAAATTAAATTACAAAATTTCAAATCACGCTGAAAAAATTACTTTCGGTTGCGGGGATCAATTACAATCATTTTTGGTGAATAGACATACCCCGAAAGTCCTACGTGCTTTCGAGAAAAAAATTCAAGTAAGGTCTAAATCTTTAGACAAAATTTAAAAATTTCAAATCGTTCTAAAAAAATTATTTTTGATTGCAGGGGTCAGGTACAATCATTTTTGGTCAATAGACATATCCTCGAAATCTTAACCATTTTCGAGAAAAAAAATTCCTAACCGAATATATCATTTCTGGCCAGAAAATCTTTAAAATATCATAATTCCTGAACGGATTGAAGGATTTTAATGTTTCAAACGGCAAACAACGCGTATTTTAGTGAAGAATATGTAGCAATTTTAACAATATTGAAAAAGTTGTTCCTTGACCCCGTAAAATTAGAAAGACCCCATAAGAATGGTCCAATTTTCAAACAGCCATAACTTCTGCAATAGTGAATATATTTCACGAAATCTTTTTCTGAAGTAGAGCTCATGGATACTTACAAAAAAGTATTAAACAACATTTCCGTACAGCGTGAAGCAAGTTTATTAAAAATGAAAAACGAATTTTTAAGAAAAGTCAACGGGGGGTGGATGCTGAAATTTTTCTGGCGAAATTGAAAAGTTTCAACTCGTTCTGGAAAAATTATTTTCGGTTGCGAGGGTCAATTACAACGATTTTTGGTGAATAGACACACCCTCGAAATTCTACACACTTTCGAGAAAAAAATTCTTTACCGAAAATATATTGTGTGGCCAGAAATGTTGCCCCGAAATAGACGTTCTACGTGCGGAGCTTTAAACGTTAATAACTTTTTAACGAAGCCTCAATCAACAAATTGGTATTCTTGATTTTCGTCTTATTTTGACCTCTAGAATCTCCCATTAAAATTTTTCCCTGTGCTGGCCGAACACCCTGTTTATTGTGTATTGTATTATTATAGATCGTTCCATAAATTCGTTAATGACAAAGTCTATAACTCTTTAAACAATTACAAACACTCATATACATGTATATGCAGTTAGAATCGATCCCATCCAGTCCGTGAATGCCAAGCTTAGCGTAGCCCAACTTTTACTGTATCAGATTTACCGAAAGTCGTTCGACCGCTAAGGTATTTAATGATAATTAACGTGTTATATTTTTTGATCGCTCGAAGCAATAAATTATGAATTAAATTCGTTGATTTCGTACGTTGTAGTTCTCGCGGCGTGAAAGCGATCGAGGATGGAGATCCTGACGGAATGAATCGCGCGCGCGCGCGTGTGGAGCGTACACGCGGGTGGGTCGAAAAATTCCCCGCGAACCCTTCTAAATGTCAAATAACTTTCTACGAGGCCGTGAGGCTCGCGCAGAAGCACGCTTCGGTACACGGGAAATCGTTGCTAGGCTGGATAGACGTAACGCGCGAAAACCACCTGTGCTCGTCTGGCGAGTTCTATTCGGAAAGTTTCATAACCGGAACGAAAAGGCGTCCGGCGGACGCTTTCGGCGTATACGCGACCGTGGAACGTGTCGCGTAAGTTCTTTGTCGAGCGTCGATCATCGCCAGACAGCATTCGAAATAATACTGTATACAATCAAGGACAAATACCTTTTTGGTACAACGCGTCTCTGATGCAGCCTAATAAATAAGGCGGTCGTACGATGGAACGGATTGCGTAAGAGCCATTCCCGTTCCCGCGTAACGTCAGAGAAGTTGGATAATTTCTGCGTATCGAACGAGAATCGGTTTAGTTTTCTAGTCACAGAGACCGCGACGGCCGTCGTTTCCCGGACCGATCGTTCGCGTCAGACGCAAAACAACCAACGCGTAGTGCTTTCACGGCGAGTAACGGCCTTTCTTTTCGCATGGGAAATCGAAAGGAACCGGTTGACATTTCCTGGTAAAACCGTTTAAAAGTCGTCCGCGATTCGCGGAGCTTAGACCCGATTCCAGAAATTTCGACGGATATCGAGTTTCACCGCTACTGTCGACCAAGTTTTGTTTACATCCTCCCGCAGCAGCGGTGCTTAAGATAAGGTCCGTAGATAGATGAGAATCGTGATTTCCCGGCAACTCCTACCATTTTTGTTCAATCCGGATGAAATTTTGTTTAGTCGGGCCTTGTATTTCGACGGAAAGTATGAACTACGTAATTTACAAATATATTGGTTATAATTATTTATACAAGGCATTCGGCCAACCCTATGAAAAATTTTAATGGGAGATTCCAGAGGATTCTTGACTGAGGCTTCGATAAAAAGTTATTAAAAAATTAAATTGAAAAATTTCAAATCATACTAAAACAATTATATTTAATTACAAGGGTGAATTACAAGCATTCTTGATGAATAGACATACCCCCGAAACCCTGCGCATTTTCGAGAAAAAAATTCGAGAAGGTACGAAATTTTTCGACGAAAAAGAAAAATTACAAATCGTTCTGAAAAAATTATGTTCGGTTGCAGGGGTCAATTACAATAATTTTTGGTGAATACACATACCCCTGAAATCCAGCCCACTTTCGAGAAAAAAATTCGAGTTGCTACTGAAATTTTTAGACGAATTTAAAAAATTTCAAATGATACTACAAAAATTATGTTTAATTACAAGGGTGAATTACAAACATTTTTGGTGAATAGACATACCCCGAAATCCTGTGAATTTTCGAGAAAAAAATTCGAGAAGGTACGAAATTTTTCGACGAAAAAGAAAAATTACAAATCGTTCTGAAAAAATTATGTTCGGTTGCAGGGGTGAATTACAAACATTTTTGGTGAATAGACATACCCCTGAAATTCTGCGCATTTTCGAGAAAAAAAATTCAGTACGAGGGGAATTTTAAAGGTTAATAATTTTTTAACGAAGCCTCCATCGACAAATTAGTGTTCTTGATTTTCATCCTATTTTGGCCTCTAGAATCGCCCATTAAAATTTTTTCCAGCGATGGCCGAACATCCTGTATATTAAATAATATAAAATAATTTAAAACCTCGCGTCGGTGTTCCAACGAAATAATTTTCATTTCGATTCGTTTGCAAATAAATGTCATGCCAGTTTAAGAAAGTAAACGGAAGTTAAATTACGAGGAAATCTAAAATTTTCGATCGTCATTCGCGAATAAAATTTGTCCAATTATCGCGATGGCGATTGCGTTGCGATTCCTCGAGTTCCTGTGGCATTTGAGCGGCTCGTTGACGTCTAGACTATTCCGATGACTTCACCCTTCTGTTCGGTACCGTTGCTCGATAAATCATCGAATGACCTCGATTGGGAGACCTTTTAGCGAGTAAAAGTCGAGACAATTGTTAAATTAGACGTTTCATTAGTCTTTCAGGATCTTCGATCCCAATTTAAAAATTCTTTACCTTAGAAATGTATTTTTACAGGAGTTTTGACAGTTCGAAATTGTTTTGAACATGTTTCGTTTGAACGGTATAAATGAAATTTTTGTTTACAATTAAACGGTATACAAATTAATTGCAGTAGAGAAATTTTCAAAAGATATAAAATGTTTCTTTATTAACATCGAAACAAGAGCTTGTTCCGTTGGATTGATAGGTTATGTCAGTGCCCAAATATCGCAGTACATTCGACAGAGTACTGTTATTTCATAGCGACTCATACGACTCGTTATGCATAAGTTAATCGCGTCTATACCGTAGCTGTGCTTAATTGTATTTAAATTACAGTAGTACCGTAATGCCACCGTTAAAAGATAGTTACAAAATTGACGGGAAACGGATAATAACACGCTATTGTCGACGCTACAAACATCAACTCGGATGGAAGCGGTATTTAATGGCCAGTCGTGTAAACTAAGTCGTTCTCAAAGCTGTAAGTCCTCGTAGCTTAGGCTTTTCATATACTATAAACATTTTACGCATAAATTAGAAAATAATATGACAAGCGTTCAAATGGTCGAGAAACACCTCGACTCGATTTTACTTTCACAGCTGTAATTGAATATGAAAGTGAAGTTTTGCCAACGGTTAACATTTGATAATCTTTTTCCCGATTCCTAGTCTTGAAAGTTTTAACAATAAAAAGTAAATAGAGATCCGTTCTAAAATAAACGAATACTAGGAGAATTCTATTATAGCATTATCAGCTTTCTAGAAATGCAATCTGAAGACTTTTGATTAGATATTTTTATTACAGAAAGGAAGTAAATTTCCAGGTAAATTCCAGCATTTTAAAGACGAAAACACGTATACGAAAGGAACGTGCAACCGGTAAAGGTCGAGAGCAAAAGACAACGGGAGGGTCTGTCGCGCTATTTTAAGCACACGCGAGCGGAACAATAACAATGAAGGAAAGCCAGTTAATTTTAACGTGACCGTGAATGACCAGAATCTGGTACCTGGATGAACCAGCTGGAAAGGTGAACAGGGTGATTCGTGCGTCATTGGAACGAGGGCTGCCCGTTCCACTGACGGAACCTGACTTCTTCGGACTCCTTTCTCGACCAGAGGCCTCCGTTTGTCCCTGAAAGGCTCGTGATCTGCTGCAATTAGTAACCCGATAGGCCTCGATATAGAACGGCAGCAGCGAACTATTTTAATTACAAGCCTTCTGTGCATTGCAACGTACCGACACTTCTAATTCGTTAACGGTATAAAATTTAAATATTTACATTGGAAAAAATATTCAGACAAATTGTATTAAGATTTTAAGATACAATAAGCTGTGAATTTCGGACTTCAGTTTTGTCACGCCGTGC